ATGCTATGCTATATTCGTGAGGGGATGGCTAACTCCTGGCCCTGTCCTCACACCCCTACAGATTTCAAATAAAAATAAAACAAAATGGAAGAAATAAATAAAAAAAATGAACTCTTCAAAAAACCTATGTGAGATATTGTACTTCTGTACCCACATATACAAAAGCCATAAAATGACCCAATACATACCAAAAGGCAGCCTGAATGTTAACAACATCAATGGCAGCAGTCTAGATGTTCTACAGTAGGGGTCCCCAACCCCCTCAGCCTAGTGCTGGTCCGTGGGCTTCCCAGGACTGGGCTACGGAGACGGATATCCACACACACACACACCCGCGCGCACACATGGCAGGACTGTCGCGGATGGGCATGTCGCGCTTGCGACATACATACCATGTTTCCCCAAAAACAAGACAGGGTCTTATATTAATTTTTGCTCCAAAAACGCATTAGGGCTTATTTTCAGGTTAGGTCTTATTTTCGGGGAAACAGTGTAGGAATAGAAACCTTGTATTATGGGTGAAAATAATCCTTTCCCCCTCTTAAAAAAATGGGTGCCTCTTTGGCCTTCATACTTTTGAAAATGCTTGGGGTGTCTTAAAATTAAAATCTGTGGCTGTGGTTGTTTTATGGATGGTAGCAGTTACCTCTCCCCACATTTATAAAAAAAAATATTATGGGTGAAAATAATCCTTTCCCCCTCTTAAAAAAAATAGGTGCCTGTTTCGCTTTCATAATTTTGAAAATGCTTGGGATGTCTTTTAAAATTAAAATCTGTGGCTGTGTTTGTTTTATGGATGGTAGCAGTTCCTTCTCCCCACATTTATAAAAAAAGGTGGATGCCTGCTTGGCCTAGAAATTAAAAATGCTTGAGTGCCTTTTAAGTTAAAAAATTCTGTGGCTCTGTTTGCTTTCAAGAGTTTTCCCCCTCTTTAAAGACTTGTATTGGCCAATCCACTTGAAACTATAACTGACTCATATTCTTGAGCCCTCTGTTTGAAAACAACAACTGCTTTTGAGGACCTTTGTATTGCTATTGATATTCTTCCCATGTTTATAAAATGGGTCCTTCCTTCTCTCTCTCTCTCTCTCTCTCTCTCTCTCTCTCATGGAATTGGTTTTGGCTTGTGGTGTTATGTTTCTGTAGACACATTAAAACAGATTAACACGGTAATCTGTGGAAATGGTTGGAAACTGTCCACTAGTTGCTTATATTTTAAAGTAAACGTTCATTCATGGAACCCTGTCCAATGTTCCACAGAACTTACGTTAAAGTACTGCATAGCAGTTAGGCTTTACAGTGCCATTGTGTCTTTTTTGTTTTGTTTTCTGTTTCTTGTTGAAATGTTTGCACAGACTAACAGGGCTACAACTCCGAAAACTGTCCACCAGTTGATGGCTGATTACAGTATTTCTTGACTGGAGGTTCTTCGGCACCCTATTATCCGCCCAACTCTTTGAAGAGGAAGTAAAGCCTAGTGGATGTTCCCCAGATGCTCCTCCCCAGGTTCAACGTATTATGACAATGTGCGCCTCTACAACTCCGAAAACTGTCCACCAGTTGACAGCTGATTACAGTATTTCTTCTTTTGACTGGAGGTTCTTCGGCAGCCTATTATCCACCCAAATCTTTGAAGAGGAAGTAAAGCCTAGTGGATGTTCCCCAGACGCTTCTCCCCAGGTTGAACGTATTATGACAATGTGTGCCTACTTGTTTATCCTGATTCAGATGCTGTTTTAATCTGTTTTGACATTAGCCGCCCTGAGACCCTAGACAGTGTCCTTAAAAAGCCAACATCTTATAGCGTAATCAATAACTCCTAAGTAGTTCCAGCTGGGTAGATGGGACTCGTCAGCCTTGGAAGGCAGCCCATCTAGGAGAAGGAAAACTCTGATTTCAAACCTCCATTGCCTTGTGGCCATATCCACTGATGGAAAAGGCTTCAGGAGTCAAACTCAAGGAAAAATCCAGAGCCAGAGTCCCGGAGGCAGTTCGTGTCACTCTGCCAACTCCTGCGACGTCACTCGAACCAGTTGTATTGGCTCTTGCCTTTCCATTGGACCATTTCAGCAACGTGGAGAGGGGGAATTTGCTGCTTGGGTAACAGCCTATCCTCCATATTATTTTACCAAGGCTTCGTGCCTTGGAGAGGACACTCCAGCTTCGCATACAGCGTTGAAACACTAGACGCTGTTTCAAGTCCTCCATACAGAGCATGTTACCATCGTCTCTCGAGACTGAAGGATGCCTATGGTATGTTTCCCTCTTTATTTTAATTTTTAAAAAAATCTTCTTATAGTCTGTTGCGCATGCATTCCCAATCCCCACCACTAGGATATTCATATTATGAGGGATGCATTGGGACATCATCAAATAACTTTTCTCTTTGCAAAATGCTGTTTCATATTTCCCTTTTTCACTAAGGACAAAATTCTGTCCAATGTTCACCAGTCCAGACATGATCCATCCCCTTTTCCTCCAGTGTCATGATGAACATTGCCAGGAGAGCCTTAGAGCTGCTTCTATCAGTGACCCAGTCCAGAGTGCGAGTGACCAGTAGCCCTGGGTTGGCTTGGAACTGTGTTGCTGCAGCAACCACGTAAACACACCAGGTTGTGGAATCCAAGGTTTGAATCAAAAGAAGTTAAGCTTTCACAGGGCTCAGCAGTGGTTATGTAGGCTGGGTTGTGCACTGTTTTCCAGGCCTGGTTTCTGTGCCTAGAAGCAGCAGGCTGGCTAGTAGCAAGGGTTCTTTTGATAACACCCCAAAATTGCCTAAGGATTGTGTTCACTTCTCAGAGACACAAACATCCCACACCAGTTCCTCTTTGCTTCCCTTCTGGACCATTTTGCTCTTCTTTTCACCTTTACTACTAGCCCATCTGGAAGGTTAATCTTGGCTTGGAACTGTGTTGCTGCAGCAACCACGTAAACACACCAGGTTGTGGAATCCAAGGTTTGAATCAAAAGAAGTTAAGCTTTCACAGGGCTCAGCAGTGGTTATGTAGGCTGGGTTGTGCACTGTTTTCCAGGCCTGGTTTCTGTGCCTAGAAGCAGCAGGCTGGCTAGTAGCAAGGCTTCTTTTGATAACACCCCAAAATTACTGTGTTGCTGCAGCAACCACGTAAACACACCAGGTTGTGGAATCCAAGGTTTGAATCAAAAGAAGTTAAGCTTTCACAGGGCTCAGCAGTGGTTATGTAGGCTGGGTTGTGCACTGTTTTCCAGGCCTGGTTTCTGTGCCTAGAAGCAGCAGGCTGGCTAGTAGCAAGGCTTCTTTTGATAACACCCCAAAATTGCCTAAGGATTGTGTTCACTTCTCAGAGACCATCCCATCCCACACCAGTTCCTCTTTGCTTCCCTTCTGGGCCATTTTGCTCTTCTTTTCTCCTTTACTACTAGCCCATCTGGAAAGTTAATCCCCGTCATCTTCCGGAATGAAGGTTCCTGAGATAACAGGGGTTAGTTGTGAACATGTGGGCTGGGCTGAGGCAGACTCCTGTTTTTCCCCTCACCATTTGTACCAAGGACCAGAGTTGACAC